GTAACATCACAAACAAAGAGAAGACAATTACAAAGTTGTAAGTAACATCAAAAACAGAGAAGACAATTACAAAGTTGTAAGTAACATCAAAAAACAAGAAGACAATTACAAAGTTGTAAGTAACATCAAAAAACAAGAAGACAATTAGAAACTTTTAAGTAACATCAAAAACAAAGAGAAGACAATTACAAAGTTGTAAGTAACATCAAAAACAAAGAGAAGACAATTACAAAGTTGTAAGCAACATCAAAAACAAAGATATATTGAATACAAACTTTAGACTAATGAATTAAATATGGTCTTATTATAATTATATTTTATCTTAATCCTTTTTTTGGTTCCCTCTGCAGCAAGAAAAATTATCTTGTGAGATTTTACTAGCTGTACAGCCTTATCTTTCAAGTACAATCGACTGACAACCCTAGCTAGTAAAAAATCATTAAGAATACAACTAAACAGAACATTAAGAATACAACAAAATAGAACCTAGTTTTATCTTAGTCTCTCAACGGTTAGTTACTGACTGACTACTAGACAGCACAGATACATTAAGGACCAAAACAAACAGAAGTTAGTTTTTAGTGGACCTAGTTTAGTCTCCTTCTTTCTCGGGGGTTTGGTAAAGTTCACTAAAGATTCCTTCGGCCGAGAGAAAATGTTGATAGGTTTCTTGTTCACTTAAGCCGTCTCCAGCCATTATTATATTGTTGATAGGTTTCTTGGTTCTAAGGTATCCGTGTTACTAAGTTATATTGCTGATAGGTTTCTTGGTTCTACGGTAATCATTTTACTAAGTTATATTGTTGATAGGTTTCTTGGTTCTAAGGTATCCGTGTTACTAAGTTATATTGTTGATAGGTTTCTTGGTTCTAAGGTAACCGTGTTACTAAGTTATATTGTTGATAGGTTTCTTGGTTCTAAGGTATCCGTGTTACTAAGTTATATTGTTGATAGGTTTCTTGGCTCTAAGGTATCCGTGTTACTAAGTTATATTGTTGATAGGTTTCTTGGTTCTAAGGTAACCGTGTTACTAAGTTATATTGTTGATAGGTTTCTTGGTTCTACGGAAATCATGTTACTAAGTTATATTGTTGACAGGTTTCTTGATTTTAAGGTAATCATGTTACTAAGTTATATTGTTGATAAGTTTCCTGGTTCTACGGTAACCATGTTAATAAGCTATATTGTACAGCTAGTGGCTCGCAAATCTTATTCAGTTCAGAGTGGAATTTAACTAACTGTAAAAATCTATTTTCGTAAATGGAGTTTGAAATATAATCATCTCGTGACTAAATATTTAGCTGGAAAGAATGACTTTAATTAAACTTACTTCAGTCTTGGGGGTGGAGCTCCCTTTCAATCATACAAGACTAAATACAAATTTCTGAATGTGAGTTTCAACGGACATAATTAGCTAAAATAGATTCGCTATTCTCAGTTACGTCTTCGATATTAAGAGAAATATTGACTAATTTATCAACATACATCGGGACTTGTTCTAATTACTTTTACGATGTTTGAAACTTTATATTATTAATTAAAATTTAAACTTTTTATTAATTAGTTAGAAAAGATTTTACAACTTCAAAATACAGCTCTCCCTAACAAATAACGCCAGTTAACTAGTGTTTATTAATTAGTTACTAGTGTTTGTTAGCCATGAATGAGTTGTGAAAGTGAATTATTCAAAAGAGTTTTGAGAACTGATTGATGAGTAAATTCGATGACGAGGAACCCACTTTGAGACTAATAATGGCTGGAGCCAGCTTGATTGGGTTATGAAGAAAAACTTATATTAAAGTGTTTCTTCATTACCCATTCAAGCCGTCTCCAGCCATTATTGATTGATGAGTAGTCTCGAGGTTCAACATTTTTATTACATATGAAACAACTAGTACAAAGAGAATTAAATCTGAAAGAATTGATACTTACTGCCCGATGGCCATTTACTTCTACATAAGCAGTGTGAACTATGACGTAAATTCAGGAAGTCAAATTTAAATAACCTATCTCGACTGCATTGTTCCTTCTCAGAATTGGGCATGGAATTTATTCAAAGTCATCACTGAATAATGCTCTATTTTACAGCGTTATTTCATATTATTTCGGTATTCAAATCTTTATATAGCAAGACGATGTTGAGATGTCAGTGTTATTCAGCATCCAAACTTACCTACAACTCTCACCTTAGTGCTATGAGATCAGGTCAGAAACCCTAAGATTTAGAGCACACTTACTATCCCTAATTCATAAATGTTGACCAGTCACTTTTGCCAACTGAGTATACAAGTACTTTTAAATGAATAGCGAAATTGACTGTTTGACTTTTATATGGCGACAGATTTTGTTCAGCAACATATTATGATCTCGAACCTGAGATCTTTCGAAATGCAGCCCGTCATTCTAACTGCTGAGCCACGCCTGACATACATTTGTTAAAGGAAAAAATAATAATATTGATACATATGTTATTATTTATCAAATAGTTGTTTACCTTGGTTGCCAGCGCCCTCTAGTTGGGGACATTCTGGAACTCCAAAATATGTTCCGCCAAAAGCTGCTAAGTATATGGCAATCCTAAAGGGCCTCGAACAACGCAGTCGGAGTCGTTGACCTTCGCATGCAATCTCGTTGTAAAACACTTCTGTACAGAGTAAACCAAAACAAGCTGTCTTATGATACAGAGCATATAAATAAAGATGACAGTGTATGTTTTGGAAATTTTAAGAAAAAATACCTAGATCAATAATCTATAGACCCAAAAAGTTGAATGAGAACAAAACTCGTATGTTTCAAGAGTGATCCATGTGTTAAAACACAACCAGGGCTATTCCATTTTTAGCAATAAATGCTTACAGCGCTCAAATCTTGGGGTCGATTCTCCGCGATGTACAGCGCGCAGGTAACCACTGTGTTGCTTTGCGCTACAAAAATGATACACATGCACATTACAATCTTTACAGCCAATCTGATAAATAATTTAACATTACAACCTTTACAACCAATCTGATAAACAATTTAACATTACAACCTTTACAACCAATCTGATAAACAATTTAACATTACAACATTTACAACCAATCTGATAAACAATTTAACATTACAATCTTTACAACCAATCTGATAAACAATTTAACATTACAACCTTTACAACCAATCTGATATACAATTTAACAAACGATCTAATAAACAACTTAACATTACAATCTTTACAACCAATCTGATAAACAATTTAACATTACAACCTTTACAACCAATCTGATAAACAATTTAACATTACAACCTTTACAACCAATCTGATATACAATTTAACAAACGATCTAATAAATAATCTAACATTACAATCTTTACAACCAATCTGATAAATAATTTAACATTACAACCTTTACAACCAATCTGATAAACAATTTAACAAACGATCTAATAAACAACTTAACATTACAATCTTTACAACCAATCTGATAAATAATTTAACATTACAACCTTTACAACCAATCTGATAAACAATTTAACAAACGATCTAATAAACAATTTAACATTACAATCTTTACAATCAATCTGATAAACAATTTAACAAACGATCTAATAAACAATTTAACATTATAATCTTTACAACCAATCTGATAAATAATTTAACATTACAATCTTTACAACCAATCTGATAAACAATTTAACATTACAATCTTTACAACCAATCTGATAAACAATTTAACATTACAACCTTTACAACCAATCTGATAAACAATTTAATATTACAATCTTTACAACCAATCCGATATACATTTTAACATTACAACCTTTACAACCAATCTCATAAACAATTTAACATTACAATATTTACAACCAATCTGATAAACAATTTAGCATTACAACCTTTACAACCAATATGATAAACAATTTAACATTACAATATTTACAACCAATATGATAAACAGCACTATATTTTCCTAAAAGAAATATCTTTGGGGTACACCATTTACTTAGCACCGGATGTTATCACTGTTCGGTTGACACACCACACTTGATGTTATCCATGTTCGGTTGACACACGACAAGGATGTTATCACCGTTATGTTGACAAACGACACTGTATGTTATAACTGTTCGGTTGACACACGATACGGGATGATATCACTGTTCAGTTAACGCATGACACTATTTTGTTAGTACGCCAGACATTGAAACTCTGGTTTTCAGTTATATTTTTACCATTTAAAGATCTTTGTGACTGCCACGGGATCTTTTGTTTTGGTTTCCTTAGCTAGTTTGTTTTATGGAACACAATGAAAACGCTGCTTCAACTTAAGTAAAGTACTGACAAAGATACACTGATGAAATGTGTTGTACTGTTGATAAAAAATATCACTTTATTTACCCATTTAGGTTTTCAAATTTACATTAAATCTATAATAAAGAAAACTATTTTTGTAGACGTCCCGTTTCTCGAATGAAAGAAATTGAACATATCTTTTATGTATTTCGTAAACCAACACATACAGAGAAATGTTTCTTTACATTATACTAAACTACATAAGCATGCTGTTGTACCAACATTGAATAACAGAACCAGTACTATTTGCACAGAACCATCAGAAATAGATAAACAATAAAGTTTCATTAAAGATATTCTGAAACAAGATATTGTTACGTCTCTGGTCGTTTGTTGATTTCCCGTAAAAATTCTTCCCAAGGAACTTCAGCAATACAAGTCATTTCTTAAATAAAACTAGTTTATTCTTTCTCAATACAGCTTTGCAATACACAGAATTTCCACAGTCACTTTAACTTCAACACG